GTGGGGGGGGAGGCGGCGGAGGAAGAGTAACAATTATAATAATTAGAATTGGAGCTGGTGTACTCACCCTCATCAGAAGAAGTCAAGTGAAGGCTGCCATTAAGAGGCTGACTGGAGCGCTCGTAATCGGCTACTTCACGTGCCGCGCGACGCTCCAACTCCCCGGTTCGAGGCGTGGAGGCAACTTTTTTTGGCAAAAGCAGATCCAACACAGTGAGGGGCTCCGATGGTGCTCCGCTGAAAGATAAAAAAGTGCAGAGTGCAGGGGTTACAGATTTCATTTCACGGAAAAGTATGCCGCCGAAATAGTAGTGCGTTAGGTTGTGTTTTGCAGTTTTGTAAAGCTATAAAGGCCACAGAACAAAAAGCATGGATTGGGGGGAGGTAATAGGCGTTCATTTGAATCGATAGAACGCACGTCCGCATTGATTTTTTGAAATAAAAGAGAACATTCGAGAGTGAGAGTTCTAGGTTAATCAGTAGAGCAAATGCAGAATACTTTATTGGATTATTTCTGAAATGTTGTCAAGGGCCATTCGAGTATGAAGGTTAACAAGACTTAACGTGATCCAGTGACACAATGGACAGTATATTATCTGGACTACCATTATTCGATTTCTAGCCCCCTCTTGTCGATTTCTCTCCGATGACGCTCTCTTCAAAATCAAAATCACCATTACCATGTTTTTTTTGAAATCAACAACAGAAGGACAGAAGTCGTCTGCGAAACTGACAAAAGGACTGACAGGGAAAGGAACTACAGCCGAACGTCCAGATCGGATAGGCTGTAAGATAAAAAACGTCAAAATTGATCAAAAAGAAGCGCAAAATTGGCCTCTCAAATTAAACACTTTGATCGGAACCGAATCACACAAGTCATATACAAACGCCAAAATGTGCATGTACGAAATTATGATTTTTATATACATAAATTTTACATACATATGCAATATTTCCTCGTTCCTTAAAGTGATCGGTGAATGCCCTCTACCCCAAGCGAGTCTCTGTTGATGGATCCAAGACGGATTTCGAAACGTCAGACAAATAATATGCCTGCCACAGTGATCACATCTGCTTGTTCTGCTTTATACCATAGTTAAAATACGCGAACACAACGGATACGAAAACGGGCACGTAGCTCAATGGTAAAGGCGTTTGACCGCTAACCAGCAGGTCGTGGATTAGAGCCTCGAGTGTTGGAAAACCTGGGATTGGGGATGACTAACTGCTAATGGCTAATAAGCCAGAAATTGTCATTCTTGTTTCGCTTATCCTTGTCGGTAATTTTATTCTGTCTATAATACTAGCGACTGTGTGGCTGCTGACGGGGTTCGAGCGTGAGCCCCAGTACAAAAAATGACGAGAAGGCCCCGTAACGCGGTTGGTGAGCGTCCCACTACTACTGTAGCGGTTCTACAGCCCACCTCCTCCAAACTCCAGACGCCACTGACGTGTTCTCGCAGGATAAATCTTGGTCGCCCAGTCGAGCCTTTCCAAGCGCGATGGCGCATGTCCGCACCAACGCGCGACCTTTGCCCTCGCACGACCGGGGCGCATAGAC